AATGAGAAAAGGAAGCCATGGATAAGCACGCGTAAGACATCAGCATAATCCCATGGTATTATTGTTGGGTTGGCCCAACAATATTACCATATAGTAAAATTACAATAGAGTAGTATGATTGCAATTGCTTAAATTGATGAAAATCCAGAATCAAATAGAAATGATGAAACAGACATATATATATTATTATTCACACTTGTAATATATATATATATATATAAAATAAATTATATGGTGATGAGCAGTGAAGTGATATAAATAAAATTCAAACGGCACCAGCAAAGTAGGCCAAGGGACCAACGATAGCAGCGTTGATATAAGTCGCAGGCTCGGAGCGAGTGTAGTCAGTGCGTTCATCAGGGAAGAAGTCGTTCTGGTTAGGACCTCCAACAATGGCGCCGGTCAATATATTAGGGTTTGGATTAGTTGTGTAGTAATATGGTTGAAAACCAGCCTTACACCCAATAGACTGTGGGTGAGCTGCTTTTGAGGGGAGAGAAGATCCTCTGTGGTGTATCCTTTTTGGATAACTTGCTCCGTATCCCACCATGTACGACTTTTTCATCGGATTTTCACCCAATATATAGTCCACCTGCATGCATCATCTCAATCATCAATCATCAATCATCAATCATCAATCATATATATAATTATATTGTGCGTTAATTACAAAGATTCATTCATCTGTCCTTAATTTCACGTACAATATATCAATAGTAAGAAAGAAAGAAAGGAATTACATACTTGTTTCTTGGCTAGGGTTCGTAGAGTGTTTGAAGTGACGAAGAGATTCCCGCATTTGAAGGTGTGTTTAGAGGTTGCCATGTATTTGGAGTATGTGGTGAGTAAGTATGTTATGGATGTCACATACTGCAGATTGCTCCCACTCAGCTTATACATTAAACCTCCTTCATTATATTTAATTTAATTGGACCATGCACATATATAGATATATATTTAGAATAAGAAGAAATTATAAATCTTGAAATCATGCATTAATAATAAATCAATTAAGTTTACCTGGTGTGTATTGTGTGGTAGAGTAAGGGGAGTTGGGCAATATTCTGCACATAAACTCTTCTGCTTGCTGTCTATATGGCTGAAATGTATGATCATTGTCCACTAAACTCCGCTGCATGCATTAATATATATACACATGTTGTCACATATCATGCATATATATAATTAATTATATAGTCAACAAATTAATTAATGTTTTGTTTTTTATTTTACGGACAGTAATATTATATTAAATAAATACCCTTGCTAGGAGAAGACGAGCACCAGCATACTTGTTGTCCCAGCTGAAAATATCAGTTCCATCATTTGCACCCAAAGATTTTATGAAATTCAGGTAATAAACCTCGTTTGTTGCTCTCCATAGCCATGCTGCTCCCCATAACAACTCATCCTATATACATACACACCATCATAATCCTATATATAGTTAATTAATGAAAACATACATGCATACATATACACACACATACCTTGTACCCCGAATAGGAGCAATAAAATGGGCAGACAGTTGAACCGAGCGAGTCACTGTACGCTCCCCTGTACTGTATAGCAAACTGCATCACACTCTTGGCTGTTTTTAAGAGAAGCTTCGAGTATTTCGGATCCACTTTCCGGAATACTATTGATGCAGCAGCCAATGCAGCTGCTGTTTCCCCTGCCACGTCGGATCCTGGATTGCTGGGGGATACGGAATACACATTTCTGGCTGTGTCCATATCTTCAGGCCTCTCCCAACATTTGTGGTCCGAGTTCGGATCTCCTACGCCTACGTACAGCTTCCCCGGAGTTGCACGAGCACACTTTAGAAGGTAATTCGTCGCCCAACGAATGGCGGCTCTGTTGCTTGATAGTTGAGGCCCTAATTTCTTGGCGTACTCGATTGCCCCCCACGACAGCATTGTGGTCGTGAATGCCATCGGTAAATTGAACTTCACGTTGTCTCCCCCGTCATAGTAACCTCCGGTTAAGTCCACCTGCAGCAAAATCCAATTATTTATTATACATGCATGCATGCCAAGTATTATTATTTAATTAATCTGCTCTCTTAGTATTTAATATACAGTTGAAGGAAGAAAACGTACTCCGGCCATTTGACCATCGGAAAGTCCAGAGTTGGCCCTCCAAGTAATTTGTTGCCGAGGAAGCCTGCCGGACCTCTGGCCTTGGAAGAACAAAAGGGATTTTGCAAGGGCATCTCTGTAATTAGGGCTTGCTGAAACACTAATTATTCCCCAGTTACAGAGCAAGAAGATGAAGAAGAAGGACCCCTTGCAAAATGCCATAATCTTTATTTGGTGATGATGTGATGAGATGAGGAGTTGGTCTCATAATTAAGGAGCTTTATATATACACAGACAAATTCAAGATTTTTGGCAAGGGTGTTCGAAATTAAGTATAGAAAAAAAATATAATGGTGGAGTAAAAGTTTATTGGAAGTTTCGGGGCAGCGCCCCCAATTTTTCTTTTTATAAATACTATACACAAACAATGAAAATATGTAATAACATCAAATTTAAAAAGATTATTTACAAATTTTGGGATAATTAGAAAATATTTAGAAGAAATTTGGTGAAATTGTGTAGCAAAATATATATTCCATTAGGAGATTTTAATTTTTTGAAATATAGAAAAATACCTACATATTTGAAAATTTAGAAAACAATTAAAACATTCATATGGTACAAAAAGAATAGAAATTAAAAGGCATATAGGCAGGGTAAAAAAAATTAAAAATTAAAAAATTAAAAATTAAAAACTAGAAATTAAAAGGCATTTAGGAAGGATAAAAAAAAATAGAAATTAAAAAAATCAATAATGGGTCCAATGGGTTTAAAAAAAATAGATATTAAAAGGCATATAGGAAGGGTACAAAAAAAATAGAAATTAGAAAATTAAAAGACATATAGGAAGGGTACAAAAAAATTAGAAATAAAAAAATAAAAAAAAATAGAAATTAAAAGGCATATAGGAAGGGGTACAAAAAAATTAGAAATTACAAAATCTATAATGGGTCCAATGGGTCTCAAAAAAAAAAAGAAATTAAAAGGCATATAGGAAGGGTACAAAAATATTAGGAAAAAAAAAATAGAAATTAAAAGGAATATATAGGAAGGGTACGAAAAAAATAGAAATAAAAAAATCAATAATGGGTCCAATGGATCTCAAAATTTGGTGGATGTGGGATTTTAACAACTTATGACATATCAGCTACAATATACTATTATTCATGCACACTCCATCGATCAGAAGGAATATTAATTAATTAGAATTATATTGAGCTTTGATTAGATTCTTGGGAATATTATTATATATATCTTCCGTCGGCTGAGGGCACCATTAATTAATTTCATAGTAATTAATTAAGATCAAGACTTTAGATTTTCCATGCTGAATGAATACTTATAAAAAATTCTAAAGTAACTGAACTGCATGCATGGGAAATTTATGTTAACGCACCTACTACAACATTTACTCGATTGAGAATACATATATATATATATAGTACTAGTTGGAATGCACTTCTTTTGCTGTCCTTGTTAATTCTCATAATATATAAATTCTTTCATTTGGAAATGGTGGTGAATCTTTTAATTTAATTTAATTTGGCATCTCGGGGTCACAACTTATAAATTACATACTACATAATAATACCTACTGTACTATATTAATTAATGATATTCCTGAAATACTAAACGGTAGTGTTATTAATTCACTTAATTAGTAGTAAATGTTTTAACAAAACATAAAATTCCTACAATCGAATATTGTTCATATGAAAGAGTATAATTCGATCTCTAATTAAACAGATACATATATATATATACATAAACAATGCTTGATTTGCGGTTTAAGAAGAGTCACTAATGGAACTCTAAACAATATTATTCATATAGTGTATATTATATGTTATTGCGCACATATTAAGAAAATTAATAAATATATGTAGATTTTAGAAACATACATATAATATGATTAAAATATCCATGTAATTAATTATATCTCAACTAACAAAGAGTAATAACTAATAAGGGCATAGTTGAGAAAACAGTAATTAATGCATCATTGGATTTTTAAAGTAACAGATAATTTGGAAATCAAAACGACAGTTAATTTGGACGGAGGAAGTGTTTGACTATATAGTATATAAGAATTAAAGTGATCGATAAGCCAGTTGCATGTATTAATTAATAATTATATATATTAGAGAGAGAGAGAGAGAGAGAGAGAGAGAGAGAGAGAGTAATGAGATACTAATAAGTGGAGTATACTGTTAAACATCGATTGGCAGATAGAAAGGAAGCCATCCATGCAGGCATACATACACATCAAGGTCGTCTTACGTCTTTTCATGCAATATATAATGCATTATGCATCCATCCTTTTATATTTATTATATAGTATCATTTTAATTTTCAACTTTGTTGTTTACTCGATCTGTCTCTCTCTCTCTCTACCCTCTACATTTTTTATTTATTTCTCCAATATAATACAAACATTGCTTCACCCTCCAAATTCATGTCGGCTTTATTGATTTCGTCTTTGATTTATTTAACTTTAACATATTATTATTTTACCCCTAAAAATACAGGGAGTACAATTTACGCCGTTGCAAACTTACCAAAAGACGTTTTTGGTAATTTTAGTATTTTCTTAGTTTAATTAGGATTTTCAGCTTTTTAGTATAAATAGTTGCCTTAGGACTTTATTTGAGAAGAATT